GGGGGGGGGTAAGAATAGAATTGTCCCAAAAATTACAGATGGATGTCTTCAAGATTATCGATTCCTGTGGATGAATGTAGAACATAATGAGACGACTATTTGATCCACAGGACGTCTTATAGACTAGAACAAAACATCCCTAGGAATCTATGTGAATTTTTACAATTACCAGTTCAAACAAACTGCGTGCTTGTTGATCTTAAAACAGCCCTAAAACTGAAGTAATTAGGACAATCCTGAAGTAGATAATATCACAATTAAATTAACAAGCAATTTATATAATTCTGATACTAATGAGCAATCTTTAAAACACTGTAAACATCGCATGTCAATTTAATTGTAATATTAATTACTTTACTTTCAGTTTTAGAATTGTTTTAAAATCATCAAATATTATGGGCGCGCATGTTTGCTTGAACTGGAAATTGTAAAAACACAGTTATTAAAGCCAATACCCACTTTAACCGGGTATGGCTTCCTTTCTTATTGTAACTATCTTTTTATTATACAGCATTCATCCTTCAAACTTAAATTAAAATTTAAAACTTTAATCATTAAATCTGTTCCTTTGGCAGAACTGTCGTGCGTGGAACCAATTGCAGAGGCTATGGACAAAGGTGAGACCGCATCTATCAGCTTTAGCACGGAAAACACAAGTTCATGGTTGAGAGAACATAATATGGATGCCGATATACATTCATACGCGAGAGCAAGATTACTTAGGAAAGATGAGTACTTTTTCCGTATTTGGCACTATGCTAAAAAGTTGTTTGAATAAGCATTTGTTATACACGTGTAACTTTGAACATTTCTATTATTATTGTAGAGTGTCGGATATAATTGATTTTTTCCGCAATTGCAATTTTATTTTTTCATCGAACACTGTATTATGTATCTACATTATATCAATGTATTTAATTAATGTGCATGAGTCTAACTTTTGAAATAATGTATCGGCGATAGAGGCATCAATTGTTCCTTTCTAAAATCGATTTGCATATAATGATTATACGTATATGTCAAAACCAATATTACCAATTTACGTAAGACTGGATGGTGTTTACCGATGATGTTAATCTAGTTAGGTAAAGTGATTTTCTTTTATTAAAGCGCTCAGGAAATGTATTTTATTGTACGAATGATTCATTTTTTATCCTAGTTTCGTGTTGAAATATTACAAATTACGCTCTCGTGCAATTTTATAAATTTTATTTTTTGTCATGAATGCGCATTGTTAAAGTATTATGTATTTACTAGTTGGTAATGACAAGCATTATATTTGGAAAATTCTTTGAAATTTTCAAATATGCGGCATTCTACATCTATTAATGACGTATCTATTTAGTGATGTGACGATGTAACGTTCATTTCTATTTGTTTCTATTTCTTTGGCGAAGCCAGAGCATACGATTACCTTAGTATGTATTCTCCAAGTATATATTGATTGTTTCTTGTTATTATTATCCGTGATATTAATTCAATTTTAATTAATATTATTAATGATATCGATATATTAAATTAACAAAATGAAGAAATATTGCGCGTGTTTGGTAAGTGAGACGTAAAATATAGGTGCAATCATGAATTATTATCAACCAACGACACGTCGCATATTTCGCGTATTATTTATGCAAAATTATATAATATTGTAAAATATTTTATTTATTGATTAAATTAT